GATTGGGGTCCGCGTTCTCAGGTGTTATAACATCTCGAGGACGTCTACCGAAAGCCATTTCTAGAGGAGTTACTCCTCCGTATGTAATTGAGGAGTTTCTTGCCAGACATGCCTGACGCACTAAGTTACCATACTTCATAGTGATACCATTGTACTCTGGATCACCATCCTTGAGAATCTGAAGTATGATCTTGATCTGATGTTTAAGCAATCGTGCAGCTGCCTCGGCCCTGTTGGGCCATGGTGTGCCAGGGCCTGTCGCTACAGGTTTGATGTTCTGCCGATTATAATAGGCCTCCATTTTTGGAGTCATGAAGGCTTGGTCTCCAACAACAACCTTCGGGTTGATTTGGTATTTCTCAAAATAATCATTCATGATGGACATTGTTGTATGTTCCTCCTTATCCTGAACAACTTCAGATGTCAGGAGGTTTGTCGCTCCATCATGGAGTATGAGAAATATGAGTCGACTAGACTTGCCAGGAATTGGCAATTCACCATGGTCTACGAAAGTTAGATCCCCGAAAGTTTCGGATCTTAGACCTGATATTTTTGCCCTTGAAGGAGCTCGTTTGTGTTCCTGACAAGCTGAGCACTTCTTGACCAGTTGGTCATAAAGCTCGTAAATTTCCTTTGGAATCTGAAGAGCCTTTGTCCTTCTTTTGAACTGATCTGTATTCATGTGACGGTGCTTCAGATGAAGCTTATAAAGTTCAACTGGATCCTTGAGCTTCTCATGAATCCTACGAAGGGCAATCGGAAGAGAGGGTGCCGGTTCAGGCGCAATCTCTTCTCCATTGTCTCTCTCACCTGCTGGTGAGTCGGTCCTAGGAGCAGGGTATTCTCTTGACTCAAGTGGTTCTACCTCCGTCCCGTGATCAGCTCCTGGGACGACAGATCTTTCCTCCACTGGAGGTTTGACTGTGTATCTCTTCTTAAGAAGATTTTTGATACCCCTTGGAGTCTTTACCCTTCCTGGTGGAAGCTCAGGCTTCTCTTCAGAAGGAAGTTCGGGTGGTTTCGAAACTTCTGGAGGTTTGTCCCTTGAACCTGATGCTGGTTCCGATGATTCGGCAGGCTCAGGTGGGTCACCAGATGGTTCTGGTGGATCAGACCTCCTAGCAGAGGATTCTGCGGGATCTGGTGGAGGTGCTTTCTTTTTGCCTGGAATGCCCTTGGGTGGAGGATCTGCTGCACCTTCCGGTGCTTATCACATCCCTTTAGGAAAGTGTGAGGCTTCTTTTGTCCTGCGCAGGCGGGACAACGACCTTCAGGGATCTTTGTGTAAGATCGCCTATCTTCCTTTGGCTTCTTGGCTCCTAAGGCAGTTTCTGTTGCTTGAAAAGAAGAACCGGACTTAGGATTATACTTCCTTGTGGAAGTGAAGCTCAGAAGATCTAGCACCAAGTGATTATTGGTACTGATCGGAAGGGGGGTCTTGTAAAGACCAAAAGCTTCACACGTTGCAAGATCCGCGGTCGGACTGCACTCAAGGGTCATTCTGAGATTCCTCATCTGTTCAATGGAAATAGAATGGGAACCTTGCCTTGATCGAGCACCTCTATGGTAGTATCCCGTCTGGGAGTTGTGTTAAACCACAAGGTTACACGCTCCTTGATAAGAGCTGTTTCACTATCTGCAAATGAGAACTTCGTGTTCGAAGGTGAGAAAGTGAAATCAATCATGCCCGGAGCATGTTGCTTAACGGCCTTGATAAGCCGATTCACCGCATAGCGGGATCCCATGGCCCTTGTACAACCTGAGTCAAGAATGACAAAAGTAGGGCTTCGATCAAGATTGATCCGCTCTGTCAGAGCAGATAGGACGGTGTGCTGCAACGGAAACACTGCTGTTGCAGTCTCCACACCTGGCCCTTGACGTTCATCATGCGCCAAAGGCATATAACTCTCTGAGGAGTTGTACACGGTATCATGGTGCGCGCTCGGATCTGTGCCTCTACCTGATGATCCTTTGTTGTTCTTTCTCTTCTTTTTCCGTGCTTTTCGTTTTGAGGCATGTGCATAGTATGTGTAAGACGTATTTTCGTCGTAAGCGGCATAATTCCAACCGGAGTCAGTATAGTAACTGTCCTCGTACCATGAATCCCAGCTCGGTGTGGTGGAGCCTTCATAGGCATGCGGAGATGCTGTTTGATCTCCTTGTAAGGAGGCAGACTTGGCTGTATCCTTACCTTTGCCCTTTCCTTTTGTGCCTTTGAAAGAGCTTCCTTTGTCTTCCTTTCCTTTTCCTTTCCATTTGCCTTTTCCACCTTTTCCTTTATCTTTTCCTTTTCCTTTACCGAAATAGCCGGAATCGGTTGGATCATGTTCTGCCTGGTTGGCTCTCCCTTTTCCGCGGTATGACCTGAAACGGCCACGTCCTTTTCGCTTGCCACCCTTTGCTCTTCCCGGTGATCCGGGACGCATTCTTGGTCTCCTTCCTTTCTTGAATATCCTTGCAACGAAGGCCTCATGGTCATCCACTGTCAGAAGACAGCTTCCTCATCTTCAGCGGCAAGAAAGCCTTCCTCAAGGGTGTCTTCATCTTGGAGCCAGAATCCATCGACTCCGTCGTATTCACCCTGATCGAGGATGAGGAAGTTTCGGCCTCCGCGTTTGCGGCGTTGGTTTCTCTTTCCATGGCGGTCCTTCTTGTGAGAAGTATGCCGAATATTGGGATCCTGCAGACCAGTTCTGGTCGTCGAGAACTGATCGAACATGGTCTGCCGTACCACAGGGTACGTGTAGGTCTCAATTCGGTAACCTTGGTTGGTCAATGCTGATACCAACCTCTCACGTTGTGTTTCATTCAGGTCGGACTGCACTAGGAATAGGAGAGCTAGGAGATTATCATTCAGTGGAAACGCTCTACGATGATTATCATGGCGTTCCTTGTTCCATGTGTCAAAGAATCGTGCGGCATATTGGTCCCTTTCATGTGCTTCCTGCAGGCGAGTGAAAGTTTGATCTTGGTGCACTGCCGCTACAAACTCCTGATTGGCATCTTCCAGGTTTATCTCTGGTAAGAGATCCATCCAAGAGTTTCGCAGTCTGTTAAGCACTATTTCAAACTTAGCAATCCAAGTGACAAAATCCTGGTTGCCTTTCCACGCCTTAAACAGGCCAAGGAACCGCCACAGGAAAACGTACTGTTCTCCTTTTACGAAAAATGGACGCGTTTTCTTCTTGAAGTAATCTACTCCATCTGGGGCTGCAAGCCTTTCTCGATTAAGTGATTCTTTCTGTACTGCGGCCAATCCGGAGAGCCTCGTCTTGAGAGACGGACCTCTTTTGGTGTCATCCAGCGTTGTTATGTCGCACCAGTCGTCAATCAACTGTTCATACTCAAACCACGAAGTGGTGCCATCATAGGCAGGCGCGATCTTGGGCGTTATGCCTAATGATGCTAGCATGCGGTCAGATGATGCATATGACTGCACGACATAAGTGGCTGGACCTTGTGAGGTCTCTTCGTCCTCATATCCCCCGGAGGATTGGGAGCTGCCGTCGGCTTCGCTGTGCGATCTCGACATGGTGCTGCCTCAGCCCGCTTTGCTAAGCGATCGGCTAGGCCGACCGCTGTTGCGGTGCTTTGTGAGGCGGGCGGCCCTTCCGGGCTCCGCTACCAGAAAACTGAGCCGATACACCCCTTTAGGATTACTCGTGTGGGAGTGTATGACCAGTTTGAGTCCCGTGGGATCTAAGGCAACGCCCAGCACACGGACAGCGATTGTTTTGTTCTGCTACGCAGAGAGAGCTTGTTGTCAAGTCGGTAAAACCACTTGAGCCAGCGAGCAGCGGACATGTATACATGTGAGCATGCAGCCAAGCCATTGCTGTAAGTACCACCCCTTTAGAGGTTTAGGCAAACACCCCCCCTTAGGGGAGACCCCTTTAAAGGGGGCTTTAAAGGGGCTTAAAGGGGGGCTTCAAGGGGGGCTTAAGCCCCCCTTTGTCAAAGGGGGTGGGGCCCATCTTCATCTTTATACTGGGTCTGTAGTTATTGCTTCATGCTTGAACAAGACGCTTGAACAAGACAAAGAATTTTGGAATCCAGTTCCACGGTCTGTTGCAGCCAGAGTTGTTTTATTTTCCAAGCTGGAGGAGGTGTCCGGCGAGAGGTTTCCAGACACGGCATGCTGTTTTGTTGGAGAGTTGTTCCAGTTTGTAATCAACCCTGCTGGCAAGACGAGTGAGCGATAGCCACCTCTTTCTGTTTTGCAAGGCCGGCTGTGTGCGCTCCAATGGGTTGGAATGGTGGGATTGTGCTTTGTCGACAGCTCTAGCCGCACTCTGTCCCTCACTAAATCAGAAAATCGCAAATACTTGCAAAAGAAGAAAATCCCCAAGAAGTACAGACCCAGTTGTGGTCAGCCCATGGTGGATCAAATTCAATGCGCTTGCTAAGCCGGAAGAACGCATGCGAAGCCTGCAAGATGAAGTTTCTCTGACCGCAGGAGTTCGACCAGACTCAACGGCAGGCCTTGTTGGCTGGCGAGCTTGGATTTTGCGTTGACGAGGACTCACCATGCACCAAAGCCGATCAACCTGCCGTTGGTGCTGGTTGCTATTTGTGACTTGTCCGGATTGCGAAAAAGTGCCTTCATGATAGTTTATGCCCATAAATGCAGGTCAGATTTGGCTTTGCAGGGCAAGTGAGTAGCTATGATTGAGTTCGATGTACAGTCATGGCCCGGAGGCTTGTGTTGCCAGTACTTATTCTGAGCGACGTTCACTGACTTAGTCCGCCCGGTCGCAGCTTGGATTGCTTCCTTTCAACACGTTGCTGTTGACCAACTGTGTGCTTCCTGTATTTTCCAGACATTCATGCATTAAACTGGTGCAAGAATCATCTGCTTCAATTAATTGTACATCTTTGTTGCTATGCTTTTCAGAACGGTGGCATGGACATCGGCTCAAGCTCGAACGTCAACCGGGCCAAAGCATGTTCTGTGTTGAAATGTTGCACTTGTCGAGGCGGTGTTTTTTGCATTTAAAGGTATGTGGTGCGATAAGGTGCATGTCTTCAGGTTGATACGGCAAGTGCTGAAAGCCATGGATTCACAGCATCGTTGGTGTCAATGGGGGCTGCTGCGCAGGTGCGTCATTACGTGAGTTGCCACAAGGCTGGTCTGTATTGGGCATCAGGATGCCAAACAAGCGCAAGTCTGTGATTGGCTACATGATGATTGCAGGCTCGGGAAACTTTGGTACAGTCGCAGATGCGGTGTTGCACTTTTCAGGTCTCGGAGTTTGGCTTTTCTCAGGTCCGTGTCCTAGGTCTTAGTTCTCGCCGCTTGCATGTGGCCGCATGTCACTGCAAAATCCAGGTATGATTAGGTCCTGTGCAGCGACGCTGAATCTGCGGGTGGCACATGTCGCATCCTTAGCAAAAACTTGCATTGTCTTCCCGCCAGGACAGTCGCAAGGCGTGCAGACATGTTAGTGCTTTTGCTCAACTTCAGGAGGCCAAGCAGGCAAGTGACAACCTGGAGGCACCAGCATGATCCACCACTAGAACTTGAATGTTGCTTGGTCGAGGACTCTAGGAGGTTATCTGGCTTGTTGTTGAAAGTTGCTCAAGCTTGTTTCTGGGATCAGTTTACCTTGCTGGGTGACAGCGTGTTTGCATCCGCATGTTTTCTTGGCGTTCTTCTGGTTGGCTCTTAGGACTTTAACTGTTTGGGTTTCTAGAAGAACTGTAAGATGGAGGCTAAAAGTTTGACTTTTAGGAGAGGTTCAAAAGTCAGCCAAAATTTCGCTGACTGCTATGACGAAAGGCATGCCCAGAAAGCACTCACCTTCCGCCGTAAAATGGGCACCATTCAGGATCCTTGAACAGGACTGACTTCGAACTGGCAGCCTTAACCAAGCGGAGCCCTTGAACCACGAACGGAAGCATAAATCCCAGAGCTGTTACTCAAGCCGAAAGACTCAAAGGAGTGGCAAACCCTAGTTCCGGTTCACCTAACACCATCCAGGGAGTTGCAAACCATGAAGCGTAGGAAGGGTAGGACCAGGAGACGAATCAAGAAAGCTTGGAGTGCTCAGGAAGGGTTTGGGGTTTGAAGGCCACATCCGAAAGTGCATGTCGGACCCGGGGTGCTAACCTGTCCGCAAAAAGGCTCTAAACTTCCAAGAACGAGAAGGACCTCAGACTTCGATTCATCTTGTTAACAAGATCCGAAATCCTCCGAAACACTCGCCAGTGGCCAACCATAATCTGCCCAAGACCCTGCTCTTTAGTTTTGGACATTCACAGGAGACGCAAGGAGTTCCAAACCCGCGAACAGAAAACGGGATAGCGCAGAGAGATTGTCTGGTGCAGAGAATAAAAATTTTTGCGAGACATTGCAAATGCCGAAGCTGACGCACTTTGTAGATGACGATGTCGAAAATTGACATGGCAACGGACATCTTGAGTTTTGAAAATGTTTGAAACACATGATGCTCAAGCCATCCATTTGCGAGGCAGAAATGTCGCCAGCTGCCCGTTGTGCTCTCCACTGCGCTGCCTCTGTCGTCACCTGAAACGTGTAGATCCTGATCGCCTCGTTTCCTACTACAATACATATGCATCTCGGCTCCTGTGCGATTGAGGTGATAAGCGGTGCAGATGCTGCTGCAAATCGAACAGCTGGGGCTGCTCAAATGCTGTGCCACAGGCAAGATGCTTGTCAATGAAGGTTACAACAAAGCCAGATTGGGCATGTGCTTAGGACCACGAGTACATGCTGTCCTGAAACACAGCCAACGTTGAGACTGGGCCATCCCATGCAGGATGATGAAAGCCTCCAGCGCGGCGAAGGTTGGAAAGCTTGCTGTGTCGGGTGTAGCATGCTGCTTCTTCAAATGAAGGGCTGAGGATAAGAGCCAGGCATCATCTGTGGCTGCTGCGCAAGACGTGTGGCAGGCGGCATTGCTGGGAGTTTCGACTTTCGACCAGTGAAGACCGGCTCAGGATGTGCAGCTGGCATCTCGCTGGGTGAACTCGACGGGTGTGGCTCAGACCAGCAAGCGCCACATTCAGGCGGGTTTGTCTGTCATTCAAAGTGAAATACCGTCGGTATTTTACTTCAACGGCGTTGCGTTAGGGTCTCCAGCTCTGCTCCTGTGTGACACGCCGCTCTTTTTCTCGGTTGTTTTTGGATTGGCTTCTGCACGCAGACACAGAACCTTGGCAATGCTGCATGTGGCCTTTCCGTCGACGTGATCTGTCAGGGGATCCATGACAGCTTCCACAGTGCCTGCCGCTTTCTATCGCAGTCTGCAGAGGTCCGTCGAGGATGTTTGTAAGATCCGGATACCAAGAGTGAAATCATGGAACCTTCGGCTGACAGGTTGCCCGATGCAAGGCTATATCGTGCTACGCCAGTGCCGCACATTCACTTGCAGGCTGCAAAAAACTGCAAAGCATGGCGCTGGTAGCCCAGAGAACGAAAGCCTCTGCCTGCGTGAGGCACTGCCGAGATGATTGCAGAGTCTGCAGACAAGGTGCTCGAGCGCCTCGAGCCGGTTTGAGTCGTTGGGTCACAAGCGTCTGCAATTGCAGTCTGCAGGCTGCTACAACCTCTCGCGACAGGCTCCTGCTGTCGTGCTGAGCTGCTGCGTGTTGGAATTGCGATGCTCGTTCGTTCGAGTTCCATACAGAGTTGAGGTAGGGAGCAGTTTAATTTGCAGCACATCGCCGGCCTTTGCGTGGTCAAGCTGGAGAGATCGAATATGCTTGTCAGCACATAGCACTCAGTGGCCGGCCTAGCCAGCATCGGAGTGCTTGGGTGCCATGTCCCAGCGATCGGCACAGTTCTCTTTGTATGCAGCTTTGGAGCTGCCAAAGACTGCAAGCCAATCAGAGATAAAGAGGGCTTTCAGGAGCCACAGCGAGCCGAAGTCCGGTCTGCAAGCTTGAGAGAGTTGCAAGGAGCTTGGCTTGGACCCATCATCCAGACAAAGGTGGAAGCCCAGAAAGGCCCCAGCCACCAGGGTTGGAGGGAAGCCGGGCCGTGAGCTGTAGCAACTTCAGCGCCTAAACGGGTTTGGATGCCTCACTTCGACTTCAACCTTCAGTGGGGGCTCCGACCGATTTTATGCCAGCCGTCCGGAAGGTTCAAGGAGATCAGCTTCGCTTATGAAGTGCTGAGCAATCCAGAAAGGCGGAGGGACTACGATGAGAAAGGACGCTTTTAGTGTGCTCGCCTAGTAACCCGGAAAAATGGCAGCGAGACGGGACAAATGTGCGCGCCAGATCAGGAGACCGTTTGTTCTACACCGGTCCACCATCTTCTCCAGAAGAACTTGCAGAAATGCTTCTTAGAGGCGTCGTTTTCCGACTTTTGCTCCTTAGTTCGATTCATACTGCAAGCATGTGAGGTCCTGGAGGCAAGCCTGCGAGGAGGAAGAGTAAGGACAGATTCTTGGCGCTGCCGGTTTCACTAGAGTCGCTTGACGATGTTTGGACTGCACCGGATTTGTATGCCATTCTGAGGGGCGGAGAGAGGAGCATCAGGTAGCCGGCAGAACAAGAAGAAGAACACAAACAAGAGGAGAGGGAGAGCCAGCGACCTTTCATTGCAAGTGTCCGTTCCTGTTGCGGACAACATCAGTGTTTTCGGCGGTTTGCCCTTTAGACAGCCTGCGAATGTTTGACGTTTCTGGAACAAGACAGGCTGTCGACATTTTGGCGAGTAACTTGAAGTCTTTTGATTTCATAAGTTTCCCAAGCCCAATCAGAACACGCTCCACGTGGCCATCAGCGAATCCCACCTGTCGTTCACAGTACTCATTCAGGCTTGGCCACATAAATGGCTGCGCACATGATGTTTTGCATGGGATCACGTGCTCAATGCGACCTCTGCACACGGAGTGCAGGCATAATTTTTTGTCATACGTAGATGTTTCACTGACAAACCGCACGGGCGGATGCCGTTCCTGTCACGGCGATGGGGAACTGGACAGGGCTTTTGGACAGGGGTGCACGCGCCTTTCTCGCTGAGGTCAGTAGGAGAAAATATCGAAAAGTATGCAGGAACCACGGACAGCAAACGAGCCTCCTTAGGCCCGTGACAAGAATAGGAAGACTGTTGGCCAAAGGCAGCTCTACAGCGGGCACACTCACTCCATGGTGGTGACGCGGAGGGTGATTGACGCGTCAGTACCCGGCCGTTTGCCCCAGTCCCAGGTGGTAGCATGATCTTGGACTGTGGTTCCACAGAGATCTTTCTGTGCCCAGGACGGCTGTCCAGATACAGGAGGAACTCACAATTTTTATCGAGCGGGGTTCCGGACACGGTGAGTCGATCCGCTTTGCCAGCAAGGCTTGAGCCGGTCTTCACTGATTCGTGTCATGCTTACTGCATAGCATGGCAGACGAAATTGGCAATACCAGTGGAAGGGCGACGAGCAACCGGAATGCGAAGTGGGGGACTTGATCGTGGTCCTCCACGAGCTGGAGCATCGACGTTTCACGCGTCGAGGAGCCGATCTCTTCATGAAATTGGACATCAGCCTCGCGGAGGTGGAATGGAAGGGGTAGATCATCATGGATGCTTGTTGCGTTTGAACACTCTGGGCAGGCTCTTGGCGGTTTTAGGCGCACTCTCCAACATCTGGACGGGCGGCGGATGCTTGTAAAGGGCGACCCAGTCCTGGAGGTGGATGGCCCATATACCAAGGCTGGAGGGACTCGCTGCGTCTGATGATGAATGTTTGAAAAGTCGAGTGCCTGTAAGGCAGTGAAGGGCCAGGGCATGCCGCTAAAGGGCAGGCCGTTCATTTGCGGCAATCTTTTTTTGGAGATTCACATCCACTTTCCCGAGAAGTTAGATGCTTCAGTGATGCTTCAGCTCGACGAAGTGCTTCCGTGCGGCGTGAATTCGACAGAGACTCGTGATGCATCCAGGCTGCATAAATCTCCGATCACTCTTCTCTCGAAGGGTGGAAGCTGCGTTGTTGTGAGGTCGATGCCGTGTGTACCTTTGCGGATGCCGACCCTTTTGTGCAGTGTTTACAAGCAGTCTAAGCTGCAAACAGAGCCAGATGATCTGGGCGAGTTGCGGGCCATCTTTGGCCGGCAGAATCTGCGTCGTCAGGGTCAACGACGGTCAAGCAACAGAGGGAAGCTTGAAGATGACAAGACAAGTATTGCCAAGACGAAGCTCACCCTGTCGTTCAGCACGCGCGGCCATTGCGCTGAGAGGATGGAATAAGATGTATGAGATGCAAAAGCTCCTACAGATTCTTACCAAGCCATGCCAGCAGTGGAATCAGTGGCAGCGGCATCGGCGGCAGCATGACACGATGACGTGGCAAGAGCATGACTTGATGGTGACGGAGATCTCGTTGTCACTCGGTGATGAGTTTGATGCCTTGCCTCGCTGCTCTCTGCAGTCTGTCCCGACTCGAAACTTGGCTTGTGACGACAGTGGCTTAGATTGAAGAAAGAGGTAACTGCACGTGGCACGTCTGGTGCCAACTGTTTTGCTCGTGTGAGAGCAGTCTGAAAGTGCTGCAAGATTTCCCATTTGCCGCTTCAGCATCTGCAAACCGCATCAAGGCAGAAGCAAGAGTGCATTGGGTTGACTGCGAGGTTGACCTGGCTTTATTTTATAACAAGCTTACCACATTTCAGAAAGCTTCAGCACGGTTTATCGACGACAGTTAGAGGGGTTGTTAATGAAACGGTCTATGCCGTCGGTGCCCGTGCCGCTTGATGTTCTTTGTAATTGCCTGGCTTTCAGCTCGCTCAGCGACCGTCTGCGCTGCGCGGTGACATCTCGACGCTGGCAGGAGGCCTGCACGGGCCTCTCTTGCGTTCTTTTGCTCCTGAGTGCAGTCCCTGTGAGTGCTTGCAAAGACTTCGGCTCGACTGGTGCAGGCTGTCTTGGAGCCTTGTTTATGGGCGAATCTGGCCCCCGAGCCAGAAGACCTGCTCTTTCTGAGCTGTCTTCTGGAGAGGTTCGGAGCAAGCGTGCGATGCTTGAGAATAGCAGGACATGGGCCAAATCGACTGGGTTCCAATTCATTATCCTTTCCGCAGCTGGCAAAATGTATCAATCTAGAGAAGCTATCTCTTAGTGGTTTTCGAGGACGTGATCTTGAGAATTTTTGTCAATCAAAATGTCAGATGCCTGCTTTGCGTTCTTTGGTGATCGAGTGCGACCCGTATTTCAACTTGGGAAGCTTCTCGCACAATACTGGAGCTCACATGGCATCCCTGCCCATTTCGTGGTTGGCCTGCTTTCCCAACTTGGAGAGGTTGGTGTGTGATTATTTGAAAGTGGAGGCCTCGGACGTCGAAGCAGAGGCCTGCGACGAGACCACGGATTCCGAGGATGAGGTTGTGTGGTTGGATCGAAATGTCGAGCTGGACGCCCCTGAGACCACAACGAGAAGAGCCGCGGGCAGCACGGCAAATAGTGCTGCAAACAGCGCCGGGAGCACAGCAAGCATCCAAGGGGACGGTGAGGTTGTTGTGGAGGCTGCAGAGGATGCAGGCGGGGCTTCAGATGGTGCCTCCACTTCTCGCGGACGGCTGCCGGTGGTGCCCCTGGAATTACCGCTCGCGGCTCTGTCCCCACGTGGCCCCCAGCCGGGCTCGCAGTCTGCCGGGCAGCCCGGGCAATCCGGGCAGCCCGGGCAGTCGGGGCGGAGCTCGTGCTCTGCAGAGGAGCTGGCACCGCTCCAAAAGTTGCGCGACCTGAGCTTTGTTGCCGTCGTGAGGGGCAGCGGATCCACATGGCATTCTGCGCACTGTCGATGCGATCTTTCCGTGCTTGCTCGTTTGGCACCAGGCTTACAGCGACTCTACGTCCGAAGTCCTAACATTGCCTTGGGGCGGATGAGCAGACGGCCCGGGCAGCGCATCGAGGGTCTGATCCGTGTCTCGAGGCACTTCTGCAGCACTGGGCTGCGAGATCTTCTGGCTGTGGGCTACCTGCTCCCGTCTCTCCGCTACTTGAAGGTGGAGGTGGCAAAGGATGACACCGGTAATTCATGGGATTCCTCGGGTTCCCTCTTGACAGTTCCAGCTTCCTCTAAACCTTTGCATGCATCGCATCTGGCTTTGCTGCTGGCGGTGCACGATCGGCCTTTCTTCCTTTCCGTAGGTACTTCAGACGCTCTAGCAGCCAAGCTCCGCCGTGCAAGCAGTGCCACGGCCAGCCCAGCAGCTGTCTCCATATTTCAGAATTTCGCCGTGGCAGAACAACATCTGCCTTTGTTGCAGTGTTTGCAGAGGTTTCAAGAGCCGAAGGACCAAAAAGAGTCCAAGGACTTACAACTGCAGGAATTCGAAGTAGATATTGTTGAAGCAGCGTGAGGAGATGCACCAAACAGCGTCTTTCTCAGCAGTACAGCCGACAGAACTTTTCACCAGCCTCCATTTGAACTTTAAGGTGAGCTATTGCTCTCCCCGTTCGAAGAAATGGGGCCAGCTTGCCTGCGCACATGGACTTGCAGATTCACAGTGCTCGTATAGGCAAGCACTTTGACACCCAAAGTGGCCCGCATCTGGAAAATCGAGAACACTTCTTGCATCGGGCCAGTGAGCTTGTCAACACCAACGAGTTTTTGTACCCTCCGGAACAGGCTGGCCGAGAAGCAGCAGCACAAGAAATAGAAGCTTGATGCAGCCGCAGTGATTGCCAATTCGGTTGCCTTGCATCGTTCCTAAGTCCTAGTGATAGTTGTGCCGTGGATCAGTGTTGTTTGCTGAGCATGGCATCCTCTGCCGTTTCTTGGCTCCTGACACTCTTGGAGAGCTGCCAGGAGTGCTTTGTACACAGTAGAGCCAGGTCGCCCTCATTTGAATTGATGTTCCTTTCTGTTCCAGGTGGCTGCAGCTGTGCCACGTAAGGGGTGCCGCAGGCATGCTTAATGGGAGGCTAAGTTCGCCCACGTTGGCAAAGGCCGGCGATGCAGGAAATCATTGATACAGAGAAGACAAGCTGTTGCATCGTGTGCAGCAGGTCAGAGACGGCGAGGATGTGTCAGCACATTGTAGAATAGTTTGTTATGGCTGGTCAGAGCAGGATGGCGATTGTTGGCCTTGGCTTCGTATGGTGCGCACGTTGATGTGAGCATCGGTTCAGAGGCACCATGAATTCATCATGATTGGGTGGGGAGTCTCCCGTCAATTGGAGTCTGGCAGTGCAGGGCTCAGCGGGCAGAGAGGTCTTGAATTTCGCACCAGGATGATGTGCGAGTTGAACTAGTGTCCGTCCAGGCCATGGGCTGCCATTTAGCAAAGCCTTGGGCCACAGGCTGCACACTCCCGTCAGGAGCTGAGCATGTAGCAGTGACATGATGCCGAGTCCCACACACCGGCTCTGCAGCGAGGCTCGTTGAGAAAAGCGTTGATAATGACGAGGAATCTCGTGGAATCGGCTTGCAGCTCTGAGTGGCAGCTAGCTCCGTCGCAGAGTGCGGGCAGAAATGTCCGCCATTTGACAGGAGAGCGAAGAGCGATGGCGGGATACCTAACCATTCAAAGGTGTCCGTTTTTGTTATGCTGGTGTTTGTGTGATTTCCTCTGGGCAAGGTGCTGGTGCCTCTTCCCGTATCACAGACACATGCGTGACATGGAGGCCCATCGAGCATCTGCAGCGCCTGTCAACGTGAGACAGTGCTTCGTTGAGGTAGTGGTGGATCCGAGTGCGCCGTCAGATCTGAAGGAAGGAGTTCATGGTGACAGTTCCAGGCACACTGGTAGTGTTCTTTTGCAGTGCAGCTTTCGGGCAATGGGGCCAGGTCGCCCCCGGGACGCGACGTTCACGTTGGATTCCCCGCTCTGCCAGAGGACATGCTGATGCCAGTAGATTTGAAAGGTTTGGGCCGAAGATAGCTTTGGTTTCCAGATGTTTCCAGGACACCCCAAAGTCCGTTTGTTCCTCCAGGGCGGCTTCTGACAGTCCGGATGCCCGGTCCTCCTGCACCGATATCTTGTGCAGCCTGAGCCATGCTGCGGGTCTAACCCACCTCAGAATCTTGAGAGAGATTGGTCGATATGAGGAAGAATCAAGAGTCTGTGCACATTGTGAGCCCACGTGGCTGGAGCCTGCGAAGTTCTTAGGCGCTTGTGGCCTAGCGCTTGCAGCTTGCGAAGGACTTGGGTAACTAGATTTAGTTGATATTCGGTATCTCCTCAGCATCAGCAGAACTTTCTCTTCTTCGTCGCGGCGCAACGACGCTGAGGCTCCGCAACACGATACCTAGAAATGGGAGTGAACCTCGAGGAAGCAGACGCGCACGGGTAGACACGTCTTTCATGGGCTGCCGCTCACAGTAACATGGTCATCGTGAAATTCCTGTTGCAGAGGCTGGAGGGTGTGGAGGTAGATTTTTCGAGATAAGGCCAGGAAGATGGCGCCTTTCTTCGCCATCAAGAACGGACACTGGATGTGGCCGACTATGTTGTGCTTCGATATGGATTCGGTTCGAGCAAGCAACAAGATGAAGCGCTCCATGCTGAAAGCAATGAGTCAGTACAAGCCGCCTGACAGCAAAAGAAAGTTGGCTTAGACAACCGCGAGATGCTTATGCCGTCTGTCCTAGCGCAGCACGGAGCCGCTTCGCCAAATTATGCAGCGTTCCTTCCCTTCCTGTGGGAGTTATGGAAACGTTAAGATTGATTGGTAGGCATCAGCTGGGGTTCGGAGCGGGCCAGTGGTGCGTCAGTGAATGCCGAAATTGCTGCGTCCACAGCGCGCGTCAGCAAGGCCATAGCTTCGGCTATAGCACCATTTCTTTAGCACACCATGACAGAAGGTTTTTGAACACTGCGCTAATGGGAACATCCTGGCAACTGAGGTTTTATGTGTGTGTTTGCCTTGAAATTGCTATCTTCGGTTGGTCTTCTCACCGGACAACTAAGGTCCACGACGGGCTGTTCGAAGCGCTTGCGGCGCTCAGAGTCCTTTTGGTGAGGACGAGCGTGACCTGCGCGGCGAGTTCAGCTCTGAGCGAGAGCTTGAATTCGCCCGCGCAGATCACTCTTGTTCCTATTAAAAGGAGACCTGGTAGCCCGAGTTGGTTTCTGAACTTGCTGCCGCTCTCTTGAATGACGAAACAGATCATGAGAGAGTCATTGACGAATTCCCCCAACCATCACGGCCTTGTGCCTTCACACTGGCAGCAGTCTCGCGGCAGACTCGAACTTGGCTGGATACGTCCATGCATCTTTCGAGGACCAGACGTCAAGAAAAGGGACTAGGCCCTAGGCGGATCTCGAGACTGAAACTGGCAGTGTTGGAGACTAAGGAACCGGCCCCCCGAAAATGCCATGCCGAGTCGGGGTTCCGATTATCAGTCAAGATTTCCACCGTGAAAGCAATCGGGACACCTGCCGCCATGGTAAAAAAAAAGGGTCGCCTGAAAAGGCGAGCTGCTCATTACTGTTTCCCCGGTGAGGGTTGAAGCAAGGAATTGGGATTGATATTTGTTAGCTGTCAGTGGAGTTTTCAACTCAACGAGGAGACCTTTTTAATTCAGATTCGTGCCGCCCACACACAAGGCGGGAATGCTGCCGGTGTCCTGACATCTTACGAGGACTCAGTGGCTGAGGTTTGAAGATTAGACGTTTCTCAGGGGTAGTTACGTTCTACCTACTGCCTGTAACTTAGCGGACTTAGCGTGTTTACGTACAGCATCATTCGGCCCTAAACCAGCTTGGCCAGTAAGTTACACACCTTGCTACCTATTTATTTGGCGGAACACTTCCGGCTTCGTGACGCGCGCAAGCAAACCCTGTCCTGCAGCGTTGTGGCAGCCTTCATGGCTCATGATGCAAAGAGTTGGTTCTCGCTGTCGCCTGTGCTCAGCAAGCATCGATGGTGCTTGTTGCACCTCGATTCCTAGATGTCTTGCTGCCTGATAAACATTCGACAGCGAATCACAGCCTTTGTAGTAGGGTTTGAGACTGGTGACGCAGTATGTGCTTGCGGACATCCTGAGCATTGAGACCACCGGCGTGCTGGCGAAGATGATGATGATGATGATGATGACGATGATGTGTTTGATTATGTGTTTTCTTGGTCGCTGTGTCTCCTTCTGGTCGGATGCTGCCAGATCAGCCAATACTATCTCGGCAAACTGTCCGATCCTGGCATCTTCAGACCACCGGTGAGCATCCAGGTCAGTCGAACTCTGACGATGCGGATGTCCAGCCTGGTACTGACACTGGCGATGCCCGGAACTCGGACCCGCACTTCATTTCAGGGCGATTAGTCGTGGGAACTGGGGCCGAGCCGACAAAAAGAGTGGCTGTTTATGTTCTTGTTCGCAGCAGCAGTGTCCACCCGACATTCAATTCGGCAGAATGCGCAGCTCATGTCAGAGTTTGAACGAAGACCGTTTGCAACCAAGCAGCTTTAGGAATATTTTTCCTACCATCATTTGTGCTGAACTTTGACTTTGGGGTTTGCTATCCATGAGTCCTTGCCGGATTCGTGGGTGTTTCGCTTCTCCTCGGTACAATCATGTTGGTCTGTCTCCTCTCAGGCCTATCTTATAGGATCTCTCATTCATCTGTCTCGAGGGGCCTTTCAAGCAACGCATCTTATTATGTTTAGAGTTTTGCAGTCCGTCCTTCTTGTAATGATAATTAATGCCTTTCACGCATCAGCCCGTTTAGGGTTCAATGTCTGCGGTCGTTACTTTGGCCTCTATTGGGCTTTTGTGGGCCGTCCATGGTCCGCGTAATCTGCCGCAAGCATCAGCCCGTTTGCTGTGTGCCTTTCAGGGTTTGAGGTTTTGCGATCCGTCTTTCTTGTAAGAAGTCGAATGGTGTGTCACACATCAGCCCGCTTGTGGGATTCAAGGTTTGTTATCCGTCCGTGGTTTGGGTTTTGCCGATCATCGCTCTTGTAGCGCCTTTCCACGCATCAGCCCTTTCACGGTTCAAGGCTTGTCGTCCTTCTCTTGTGTTTGTTTAGGGTTTGGGTTTTACAGCTTATCGTTATTTTGAGAACATCGTTCCTGTGGCATGTTTCACGCAAGTTCAAGGTTCGTTGTCCCGAACTTCATGTTGGTTTAAGGGTTTAAGTTATTGTTTTGTGAGTCTTGCAGCCCTTTCGTTCTGCTGGGGCGTTTCACGCATCAGGCCAGTTCGGGTTGGCTGTTCCTCCTTTGTGCTGTTAAGGTTGGGGCTTTCTTTGTGGCTTGGGTTTCGCCGTCCAGCGTTCTTCAGCCCGTTTTGGCATTCACGGTGTGCCATGCTGGCTTTGTCGTGGGAAGTATCCTTCAGCCCTTGGAGGTTTCATGTTTGTTGCACTGATTTGTGTTGTTCGTGCAGCACACGTGTAGGGCTTTCCAAGCATCAGC